GAGACAGACACAGGGATATGGACACGCACACAGCGACAGGGACACACATAGAGAGAGACATGTACAGGGACACACAGAGACAGACATACACAGGGAAATGTCACCCGCACATAGGGACACACATAGAGACATTTACAGGGACACACAGACATGTACAGGGACATGGACACACACAGAGCTGCACACACACACGGACACACACATGGACAAACGTACAATCGATACACATACACACGGACATACAGACATAAATGGACACACACACACACACACACACACTCACACACACTCTCATACACACACACAAAGGAAATGTCACCTGCCAAACAAGGCCACAATCTGAGAGAATATTCACATAAAATTTAGGGCTGGTGACCAGAAGTTACAGATTGAGCTTAAGTGTGTTGATTTTGCACGCAAATTCTGGTGTCATCTTTCTCCCTGATGGGACAGAGTTCATCTTCTGAGTAAAGGAGTCTGGATGGTGGTGCCTCTGTGTGAAAGTCAGGCACTGGGACTGATTTTTCGGAGGAGGTTAACAAGGACCAAGTACCCACATCTTAGTGAAAATCAGTAGTTGATGGATGCATCAGTTCCTCTGGCTTCTGTCAAAATTGAAAATGTAGTAGATAAGATAGATTTKCTGTCCCATCAAGCTGTCTGGCAGAACTTCGACTAACTACAGAGAATTTTTTACATAGTATCACAARGAAAAAATCTTTACTGTGTTATCAACCAAGTGGCCAAGTTACCACCTTAGCTTAACAGTATGGGCTGAAATTTGAATCCTTACTGTTACACCAACCTTGGTGAGGCAAAACTGATCTGGGAGTATTTTGGCAATATTCATTGCGTTAGACTTGGAGAGAGAATTTTGAAAATATTCCAATTTATTGTCTGGAAGAAATAGTGATATGAAACATGCTTTTTTTCCTATGAAACTCAATTCCCCTCTCTCCACAGTTCTTGTCACAACAATAAATTACAAGTTAGACATGATGAAGTTTCTGAATAAGATCCATCCTGTTGATGTAAGACATGCAGGACAAAAAGGCTGAGAAGGCTAAAACAAATCGTTTATGTATGTGTTTGTTTATACAATGTTTGTATATTCTTCTTTTGTATATACATTGTTTATATATATTGTTTGTTATGCTAAAATACACTGTGTAATAATGGCAGAACTGAGCTCAAAAACAGTAGTTTTCCTAACAAGATAAAACTGCAGCTACTCAAAATTTCTGTAACAGAAAAGAATTGTGACAAAAGAATTTTTCCCCATGTAAATCATGCTTCATATTCATATTTCCAAGCTGCTACTTATTTCCTAGCACTCCATAATTAATGCCATTTGTATTTTCAATAACATGTTACAGAGAAATACATTTTTTCCTACCAACATGGGTTATTTCTGACAGCCAGAATATCACAAAATTGCAAATGTAGGTTTTGATCAGGCTAGTTTTCCATTGCAAATATGCAGCTTCTTCTAATGAATGCATACTTAGAGAATGCTTCAAAGGAAATGATTCAAACTCACATGATCTAAAAGGCTTTGCAAAATAACTACATGCTGCATACTGTGTATTTGTCTACTTAAGAAATTATTTAGGCATGGGTTTAATAAAATTCACAATGGATGTAGATTAGAAGAAAAAYATTACCTGTCAGAAAATGGCAATTACAAGCTTTATAGAACTACTGCTAATGTCTGAACTCCCTTGTCTGGACTGTCCATAATAGTACCAGTGATGAAGAAGCAAGCAGCAATTCTTTCAACAGCCAGACTCCTCCTAACTTCTGCAACATAAGGAACCCATAATGTAAGAGAAATAAAAGTGTAAGAAAGCTAGAAAGAGTGTGAGTCACTTGGGCAAATYATGGAACAGAAAACATGCTCAGTTTGGCCAGCAGCTAATCAACCAGTTATGCAACTTCTTGAAGGTTACTAAAGTATTTACACTTCACATGTGAGGAAATGCAGATTTCCAGATGTAGGTTGTACATGACATCAGACCAGAAGGAGACAGAGTAATAAACATACAACTGGAGCGGAACCAGTTCTAAGGCAGCCACACACATAAATCCCCAGTGACTAAGTTTTTCTTCTTTCCAGATTTGTGAACTAAAAAAAGCTGTAACGGGTAAATACAATCAGGATTTGTCACACTCTCTGGAGGACTTTGGGTCCCTAAAGGCAATAAATGCAGAGGTAAGCAGCAGATAAAATGCAGCAATTTAGCTTGTTTTTTACAACTTCACACTTCCTGATGGGCTATATAGGTGTGTTTTACAACCCCATTCAGAGACAGTAACTTGACTGGAAATTCGTTTTCCTACACACCAGCAGGATTAATCTGAGATTCATTATGCGTTATGCTGAAGTGAAATTGTGCAAACACTTAAAGCTTTGGTGACAATGTGGCAGAGTCACGCTAGGAGCTGGGAGTGTAACAGCAGGACACAGGTGAACTACAAGAAGCCCAGGCACAGTTGTCATACAGGTGTGGAGTGCATGTGCAGAAATTCATCTGCTTATGCTTTTGTTGCTTCTGAAGGGAAGTAAATCAAAAGCTCCGATTTCAGAAAATCTACTCAGCATGAAATGTATTTGATTGAAGACCCAGCAGCAATCTATGTAATGATGTAGTATTTTTATCAGAGTTTTACAGTTTTTTTAAAAGTACTGAATAAGCAAATTCAGATATTTGAAAATGCTATGTACAGTGTACCATGTCGCATTTATGTACCCATAACAACCGTTTCTCATTAATAAAGAAATCCAGAGATGATCCAGATGATGGATGATATCTGGATGATTTCCKGAGAGGCTATTCTAACAAGTAATTTAGCATATTTCATAGCATCCTCATTAGACATGAAGCACATGAAAAAAAAAAATCATGCGTGATCTATCAATTTGAAATATTTTTAAATAGTTGGATTCTCAGATCAACATGTAAAAAGTGTAAAATTTGTCCTGTACTTACTGCTAAATTGACATGATCTAGGAGTAGCCAAAACCTTTGGTATTCGGCAAAATACTACAGCACAAGAAATGTAATAACTTAAGATTTTCTAAGAATAAATAGACGAGAATGGTTGGATTTTTTCAACTAATGAGCTGTCTAATGTTGAGTAAAGACCTTGGTTAAGATTTCACATTTATTTTACCCTGCATGATACAGARAGGTAAGAATAGAATGATTCAATACACAAATATAAAACAAATTCACTATAAACTGATTATACTCCCTATCTCCCAACAGCCTTTCCTGTTTTAGTTTAATCAGTAAAAAAAAACCTGTGGAATTGCCATCCTGAAGCATCTTTGCATATATAGCCTTAAATCCCAATTCTGATTTTTTTTTCACAACTGTAAGGTAGTAGCTCACAGGTTTAAATCACTTTTGTGGAATAATTTCAACCTATACGTAGACCACAATTTCTGTAATTTAAGCACATTCTAATCTGCAAAACTGCTACAGTGAAAGCTCATCAGCGTGTACATTCATTTCATAATGTTACAATTTTTAAGTAGCTAATCCTAAAATGGCCARAATTAGCTTGGGGATATCTGAAATCTTCATAGTCAGAAATTAGACCTTATCTCCTCCCACTGAAGCAAGGCCAGAAATATGAAAAAAAMCCCACATATCCACCCCAGGTCTGGTTCTGATGGAAACCTGA